CGTTCACCATACAAGGCTCTGTTAGGAAGTGACCCAAAACTTGGCCTTACTTCTAGTAACATTCCATTGTCATTGGCAAAGACTATAGAAACCGAAGAAGAATTGCAAGAGATTTTGAATGATCGACCGGCAGAAGCAGAGGAACTACTTAATTGTGAAAATGTTAGTGAAAATGTGGACAATGATGGCGAAAATGAGGAAAATGATATTGAAAATAACGAAAATTACACTGACAATATCGAGACGGATGTTCTTAGTGCGTGCGTAACGGACACCGTTGTTCATCATAATCCGAGTTGTCAACTCGATAGGTGTTGTATTTGTGAAGAAGAACTAAATTCAGAAAATAAAGTGCGGTGTGACAAATGTCAACAGAATGTTCATCCCAATTGCATATCAGCTTCTTGTAGCAAAGAAGACGCTGATACACAATTATGTCAGTTATGTTTTACTTCAAGTAACATTCTTAGAGAAAGACAAGCTACTAGAACTAAAACTGAAGAAGCTGCAAAAAAAATGCTCAACAGTTCCACGAAAAAGTTACCTAAACTAAAGAAAGGCGATTGTGTGTTGTTAAGCACACCCAAGGTAGATCGAGGACCTGGAGATCCGCTAAACTTAATATGCATCATCATGGACCAAAAAAACGGCGTTAATGAATTAGCTTGTCAGCATGGAATGTTAAAGGGTTGGTTTGGACCAGAATGTTTATCACTAGCAGGTGCAGCGTTCCTTTCCATACATGCTATTAACACAACTAGATACTTGTCAATCAGAGAAGCTGTAATGATGACAAGCGGCGGTCAAGGATTTGTTAAATGCATGTGCAAACCAGGAAGAAAACAATGCAACAGCGCAAGGTGTATTTGCATGAAAAATAAATCGATGTGTACTTCTAGGTGCCACCAAAGTTTGCCATGTTCAAACAAATAAAGATTTACATTTTTGATAACTGATGTGTTCTTTCACAATTATTTGTACATTATATGTAATCGACATTTCAGCATGAGGCAGAAAAGAAGTTGCGTTTCATGAAGTGACTAAAATAATTAGTCACTTGGTGAAATATCATTTTATTTCACTATCTGGCTGCATTTCATGAAGTGTCTAGACTTTTCATGAAATGTCCAATTTCATTAAACGGCTGCGACATATACATTACAACTCCTAAGATAACTTTTTTAATTGTATCATACTAATATGTATCTAATATCAAAGAATAATACGCTAAACTAACAGGTAACACTAATGTAATTTCATTCTTAGGAAGGCCCATTTAAAGAATTACGAGTGGAAAAATTTTTATTCTGATCGTGATGATTCCGTCATTGCACGTTTTCTTGGCCATGAATTTGTAAAAGCCTATCCAACACAATTTATTCTTTTTACAAGAACACATTTTACTCCATAAAATCTACGGATATAAATATATTGTTCAACGAAGTAAGAGGAGGGGGATAACGGATAACCCTTTTTACATCCAGAAGACCTTAGAACAGTTAAATTGGTAGGCACAATGTGATGAAAATGGTCAAAAGTTCGTCTATATTCATACCATCCGAATTATTTGGGGGGGGGGGGGTAATTTTTGAGGCGAAGTACAGATGTCTGTAGCCATATTTTGGTTTGGAAATACTCCCTTAAACAGGGTTGCCTCAGTGTGTCTTCTGTTGGTAGCAACTTATGGATGGGTGCAGCAGCAGCCATAACTCCACGCAATGTATTAATTGACGTGATATTCGGATTCTTTACATAGATTTTCAATACAAGATTGTATATGCGGGTGAACAATTTTTCTGAGAAGTAATTCATGCCCACCCCATTTAAGTAGTGACAGCCAGGTTCGGCTGGAATTGCCATCACCAGGCCTTGCGTCATAAACATGAAGTGTATGTTAAGGTGAAATATATAAAGTGTGGTTATGGTATAACAATTATATATTAATTTACGTCTTTGTTTTCTCCCATTTTATAGCGATACAACCTTATCCACCGTAACATACACTTCATGTTTATACACCCTTCATTTTATGTCTTATGCCGCAAGACCTAATGATGGAAATTCCAGCCGAAATCGATAGCCATAAAGAAAAAATATAAACGTCGCCACCTTTATAACTATTTATTAAAATCTATGGTTGACATTTGCACAAAAGGTTTTTTGCCTGGTTTTTTGATATTTTATACCAGCTATGAGCTAGGAAAAACCGATGCACTGTTGCAGGACCCTGTATATAGCATCCTTGGGTAAGTACGCAATACAAAGTTGTTGTCAGATCAACACTAATAATTTTGAAGGGTTTAAAAGTGCTTACATGCCTCACCAATGTTCTTTTTTACAACAGCACAGAACTAATTTTATATTAACGTAAATGTAGTTTTCCATTCTCACACAGTAAACTTTGGATATTCCAAATAAAGCAAAAGGTTACATTTGCAAAAATCAATTCTTAATTTTGCCGCCAGTCAGGCTCTATTAACTTCACTATAAACGATTCGTCATTTTATGTAGTATCAATTGTAGTAAAATTGCAAATCGTTCCGTTACCTAGTTAAAATTCATAAAACATAAAGTAGAAGTTAGAGTTAAATTACTTGTAGTACAAGTACTTTATGTTTTCACGCTCGCAATTTCCACGAAAACTAATTAAAACATGTATTTCCTCAAGTTCACATTTTCTAAATCGCTCTTGAAATGAAAACAATTCAATGGATTCCTACAAGTTTGTAATTATCTAACGCCCTCGCTTAATGATTGGGAGTATCCTAGAAATAGGTTGAATCTATTTTTATATTAGTGGGCAGTCACTGCTAAGATTCCCAACAGTGCGAATATCTAGGTCAATAATGTGTAAATTACAATTTGTGTTAGTTAGTAGTTTTACGGCCGTCAATCAGAAATATTTTTTCATCGATTGGTAGTTAGTGATTAATTAAGAAAAACCAATTCGCAGTTATTAAAAAATCACGCTAAGTAATTTATTTCGTGAAGTGCCCTTAGAATGGCGTCTATGTAACTAGATTGCGGTGATTTTTTGGTGAGTTCTATTTATTTGATTTTCAATTAAGTTTTAGGTTTGTGTACTAAGTATACTGCGTGTAAAGCGTCACAAACGCCCATATATAAAATCTCAATTCGATATCGGAAAGCAACCAATCGTTTACATTAGGATGAACCTATACTTATTTTGCCCTTAATTAAATACATTCTATATTAAATTGATTGGCTTCAATGGGATTCTCAGGCAAGCTTCTAATAATGACATTATTACCATTTAAGATAGCATAGTTTTCCGTAATTATTTTACTCCATCTACCAAAAAATAGTTTTGAAATTAACCTTATACACTCAATAGTAACAAATCTCATATACCAAACATGGAAAAATCCAGGAACACACAAATGTGGAAGAACAGTGTTTTGTGCGCTGAATGTAGTCTCTTTCTCCGAGGTTAGTTTTTTTTTTTAAATATATTTTTCTATTGTGATTTATACAAACTTAAGGGGAATAAAAGCGTATTATTATTAAATGTACCGGGTGACCAAATAAGAATGAGAGGTGGTAGCTGCATCTCGGAAACAAAAAGTGTTTTCGGTTAAACAATGTTTATAGCAACGTATCTAAGAGAAAATGCAGGAAATTATTTTTAGTTTCATAAAATCACCGCCTGGGGGCGACTGAAACAGTATAAAACCACAATCTATCAAACTTTCTTACAGAATAAGGGGGAAGAAAGAGGGTTAAATGTGGTTTTGCTTTCTGTTTCATGAATATTGTAAACATCAATAAAGCAGATGTTTCAAGAATGTGCCGTGTGCGTACATTATCAAATGAGGGTTGTACGTAGCTGCTAGATGGCACTTTTTATGATCGTTATACAGGGTGATTTAGCGGATATTGTCATATAGTTTCCCATTAGAGTAAAATTGAAGTAAAAAAATCTAAAAATGCAAATTTTGGGGATGTTCCGTGACGATCCAAACTTTCAACTCCAAACTACGAATTTATTCACAAAAATGCTATACCATTTTTCTCGTTGTCGCCCATAATCATCCCTCCAGCTGTATTTGGTCAATGTTTGCTATCAAAAATGCTCATACGCATTCGTATTCGTACGCTTTGTGCGGATAAACATAATCTAAGCGATTGATTTGGAATTTATTTAATTGCGTTTTACGAAATTTTAATCAAAACCAATTGGAAACTTAACGCTATTGGAAATTTCTAGAGGATTAAGTTTTTTAGAAAAAAGGTCATTAAACCAAGTTTTTCGATTTTTATTTCAAACTTTTAATATTTCACAAAATTTTAGTTTTTTTGTCGTACCGGATTTGGGCCCCTGAAACATAGAAAAAAGGGAGAATTAATTTCTGAAAAAAACGAACGAGCTTCCGTAATTCAGAAGTATTTGTCAGACAGCAGAATCAGTACCTACTTAGTCAACATTTAATTGGATCTACAGGCGACGTCAAGAAAAAAATCAAACACAAGAATATCAGTGAAAACCGCATTTTGATATCTGTTTTCTAAGCAGAGATATGGCGAAAATACCAACATTCACAAATTTTAATTGCAATATAAATTGATGCTCATGTTATAGTATTATTTGAATATAAGGCAATAAAGGCGACACAAAGGACTTCCTGGCATCGAAAAACATAAATGAACATACAATTTTTAATTTTATTTTCTAAAAATAGCAATTATGTAAAACATTTGGGACACAATTTAATTGTGGTTTCTCACAAATTGGTTTTTAGCGTATTTTCCTCAAAGTGAAAAATCGCTATTGGCTGCACTTTGTCGTCCGTCCGTCACACGTACTCGTTCTACACCTCTGAACCGTAAAGGCAAATATATCGCATATAGTAAAAATCAGTTGTGCGCATGTGCAGACTGCGCAATGGCAACTTTCTTGTTTATGGAGATATTTCTTTGAAATTTTAACCATATATGCGTTTAGTAAAGAAAATCACAGCGCACATAGCTATAGCCTTTTGGGAAGTACTGATCATTCATGGAAAATGCGCTGAAGTTACTTGCCTTAGGGCGAAAACCTTTTACTTGTTTCATTTTGCCTCCACTTCACACAGAAGCAGCGTGCTTGCCTGGAAATAAAAAAAATTGGTATCACTTCATATCCAATATTAATTATACTTACTATCAGTTTTATTGCGAATAAATTTATTAAATTGTTTCATGTTTGCTACTTGATTCTGTGTGACGTTTGGTATCGACGGCAACGTGCAATTTCGATTTGTTCAATAGGTTGTGATTTCTTCAATGTCGCAATCAGGCGCAGCATCGCAGTTCATGGCATAATTTTTGTTCTAAAACCGAAAAAATTTTAAAACACTACAATCCATAATTACACACCTATGGTACTTACTCGTCTCAAGTCATTAGTGCCAATCATGACGATTGACGATAACTTTTCCTGCTGGTCGATATGTGTATTCTGGACATTACATTGTATCATTAATTTAGACATGAGCAGACTAACAAAGGAATTATTGTTACTTAAAAAAAAACGAATTTTTCTACCAAACAAACAAAATATTTTAATGGGTTAAGGTCGATTCTCACTAAGGCAGCGCGTCACAGCACGAAGCAGAGCAGCGCGATGCAGCATTTTAATGTAGGTATACACACTTGAGCATCAAAATACTCGCAGTTCTATGTCTTCCTTGTGAAAATGTGCACGGCAGAGGACACATCATCCAGTTCATCAGACGAAATCTTCGTGACTGTTGTTTGGCACCAACACCAATTAGATAAACGAAAACGAAAGTATTGGGTCCATGACATATTTCGAGCCCGACTGGAATGGGAATGACTGCTCTGTCGCTGCTGCAGGTGGAAACTGTTGAGTTGTTAATGTTTGTGTATGAGACCCAGACTTTTCATAGTAAGCAGAAGCAGCTTGGGATTGTGGGTTGTGGACATATGAACTTAGTGGGTGAATGGATGAGGATGACTGCTCTGTTGGTGCAGGTGAAGGGTGTTGTTGGGCTTGGACGATGTTCTGATTTGTTAACGTTTGTGCATGAGACCCAGACTTTTCATAGCAAGTAGAAGCAGACTGGGGTTGTTGGTTGTGGAAATATGAACTGGGTGGGTGAAAGGAAGTGGATGGTTGGTTTTGCATGTAAAAAAGACTTTGTGTTGGTGTTGTGCCACCCAATAGCTGTAATTCATACGAATTTACAATTTGAAACACCTGCCTTTTGTTTGAAGCTTGCTCTAGAGGAGGAAAGGTTGCAACCGTTTTGCCCATATTTATGAAAAAATCTAAAATCGAATTATCTTTTGCGTCTGCCCGAGCCGTCGATTTCTCTAAGCGACTTCGTTTCTTGTCGTTGATATATTCTTTTAGTATTTCAGGCAATCTATCTACTTTCTTGCAGTTAGGCTTTTTGCTTTTAGCAACTGTCGATACACTTTTGACACTTGACGCATTAGATTGTGGAGTATTCGGTTGTGAATAAGAAGTGGGACTCATTACATCGTCTCTTGGACTCGGAACGTCTTCTCCATCATCTTCAATCTGGTTTTCATCCACTTCGCTTCTGGTTTCATTACCATCTTCTTCCGATTCTTCTTCCTCGTCGCCATCTACGCGGTTGATATTGGACTGAGTTCTAAAAAAATTTTTAAAAAACAAAAATTTGCTGTTATGAGACTCTCTTCCTTTGATATGCGGCAAAAGAAATGACAATATGTCCCAATATTTCCATTTTTTAGTCGGTTTTGCAGCCTGTCCATTTTTTGTTTTTTGGCTTCTTGCAGCTCGTTGAAACCCATCCCTTAATGTTTTCCACCGTTGTTTGCACACATCACCTTAAATAATTACATTTTCAATCAATTTTATTACAATTTCTTTTTAGATTCTTAGCAACCGGAGCAGATTTTCAAACATTATCGTTCAACTTTAGATTAGGACACTCTACTGTACAGAAGATTGTAACCGATACTAGCAACGTTATTTGGGAAACTCTGTCAGATATTGTTATGCCACAGCCAACGAAAGGCATCCTTATAAGTTGTGCTGAAAAATTTGAAAGCATTTGGAATTTCCCTAATTGTGTCGCTGCAATAGATGGAAAGCACATCACTATACAAGCACCTGCCGGAAGTGGATCCTTGTCTTTCAATTACAAGAAAACATTTTCTATAGTATTATTAGCTATGGTAGATCCTGAATACAGATTTATTGCTGTTGATGTCGGAGGATATGGCAAAAATAGTGATGGAGGATTATTTAATAACTCTAGAATGGGAAAAGCCCTTCAAAATAACACGTTTGGAATACCCGAAGATCGGCCAATAACAGAAAATGGAAAACCGTTACCGTTCGTGATTGTAGGAGATGAAGCCTTTCCTAGCAAAACTTATCTAATGCGCCCTTACCCAGGTCGGGGACTTTCTGAAGACAAAAAGATATTCAATTACCGGCTCTCTAGAGCGCGCAGAGTGTCAGAAAATGCTTTTGGCATTCTTTGTCAAAAGTTCCGAGTTTTTTTGAATAAAATACAAGTTCATCCAAATAATGTAGATAAAATTGTTTTATCTAGTTTATGTCTCCATAACTTTCTTCGAAGCGACAACGTTTTTCTGAATGCTTTAGATGAAGAGAACTCCGAAAAGGAACGTCCAATTTTTATAAATTTACCTCACATTGGTGGTAAATCTTCCACTGATGCAATAGAAGTAAGAGAAGATTTTACAAAATATTTTACGTCGGCTGCAGGTACCGTTCCTTGGCAAATGGACACTGTTAACGCAGGAATATTGTAAACAATTGCTTTTATACATTTATCACATTTTTTGCCAATAAAACCATGCGTATGTTTAGCTTGACATGTTTTATTTTTTAAATTAGGTACAGGTACTCACCGTTTTTATTAATTTTTCTTCCAATCTCTGACCATATGTTGTCTCGTCTGATTTGGTTACTGTAATTTTTATTACTCATATCGTATAATTCAGGATACTCATTGACCAGTGAAATTAATTTTTCAATTGTGTCACAGTCCATTTCGAAGTACTAAATGACAATTTCTGCAAGTTCCTACACGCTTTGTGAGTCACATCTGTGCGTCAGCAAGCAGCGCAGCGCGTTTGCAATGCTCGCAAAGCAATTCCGATGTTGCTGCTTCGTGAAGCGCGGCGCCGCGCTGTTTAAATGAGAACGGCGCGACCTTATAGTTTGCATATAATTGTAAGCAACATTATCCCACGCCGCACTGCGACGCGCTGCCTTAGTGAGAATCGGTGAGTTCGAAAACCTCACAAGTCCAAAATTTGACATTTTAAAGTAAGATAGCCATTTTGTTTTAGAAGGTGCCCCCCATTGATTGCGTTTAAAAACCGTACGATTTACTTTACCGTTTACGGTGTATGGCACATTGCGCCAAAGTAATGAGTGTAAAAACCGTACATGTCCCTGACTTGTACTGTTTTTCATCTCAATCCAAACACAATTCGCAAATGTTTGTTTATAAGCACAGCGTTAGTCTCGTGTGTGTATTTATGCCGTTTTAGTCATCTTCTAACAGTTTTAAATACGTAAAAATGTCATCCAGTGATAGTGAAGGAGCAGATAATCATAGTAGTGGTAGCAGGAAAAGAAAAAGGAATGTGGATGGTTGGAAACACAACAAAATAAAAATAGCACGCTTGCAAGGTCAGGCGTATGTTTCTAGCAAAGGAAAACATGTTGAAGCAAAGACTGTAGGACCTCCATGCAGGTAAGTTACAATTTTTGCTTAAACATTAAAATAAGTTTAATATTTTCTAAGCTGCAAAAAAAAAATGTATGCAGCAGTTCACTGAAGATGAAAAAAACGCTATAATGGTTAAGTTACACGACGGTAAGCCAAAAAACGAACAAGACACATACTTGCAAGGACGTATGGTAGCAAATCCCATTCAGAGACACAGAGTAAGAGGTACTTCACCTAAGGAAGAAAGAAAATCTAATTTTTCATACTTTGTTATGAATCAATCAAATCGAATTTCCGTTTGCAAGCAGGCATTTATGAGTCTTCATGCCGTATCACATTGGCAAGTTCAGCGATTAAACAACCTACTTCTAGCAGGAAAATCTCCAAAGGATTTAAGGGGCCGGCATAACAATAGACCCCGTGCAATATGTGACGAGTGGATTGCAAAAATTAAAGAGCACATAGAGTCGTTTCCGGTAAAAGTTTCCCACTACTCTTCTAAAGACATTCGATATTTAGATGCATCTTTAAATGTAAAAAAAATGCACAATCTTTTTCTTGTGAAATATCCAGAATTGCAGAATTGTGTGAAATACGAATTTTACCTAACATATTATAATGAAAATTACAATCTCAGGTTTGGAAGGCCGCAAGTTGATGTCTGTTCGGAGTGTGAAAGGCTTGGGGCCAAGCTTAAAGACAGTAATCTTAACGACAATGCAAAGAGAGTAGCTGCCGCGGAACTCATGGTCCATAAACGGCGCGCGAAAAAGTTTTATAAAATTTTGACTATATGCAAAATATGCCTCTTCCACATATTCCTGTTCAGGAAATTTTTTATTTTAGACAGCTTTGGGTATACGCATTTCAAATACACAATTTTAAGGAAAATACTGGACATTTTTACACCTACCATGAGGGACAGGCTCTTAAAGGGCCTAACGAGGTATGTACATTCCTTTATCACTACATAATGAATGTCATACCACCTGAAATAACTGAGCTGCACTTGTTTTCCAATGGATGTGGGGGGCAGAACCGTAATTTGTGTCGAACTACAGGCAGTTCCTCTATGAAAGTTCTACTCCCGAATATGTGACAACATGGGAGTTTATAGGTGGTTTGAAGTCACACACTTTTAAATTACTAAAGCAACATAAGAACAGTCCCCCTCTACCCAATAGTGTCGCGTATAGAGAAGCAGTTCCTATCAATGAAAAGAAAATCGCTGACATTAAAAAGGTTATGTCATATATCACCGGTGAAACTTTGGAATTTTACTACCATGTAACATCCTGGCCAACTACAACTGCTGATAACGACGATTAGATATTATGTTAATCAAAATAACTGTTTATTTTTTTCTATTTCTGTAAAATTATCAAATAAATTTCTCAATTTCCAACATATTTTTGTCGTTCAGTTCGAAAACCGTACAAGTCCGGCGCCTTTTTTTACCTGTAAGTGGTCCGCCATTTTGTTTCTCTGAAATATTATTGCAAAAATAAATCCCAAATCACCAGATCTAAAACTCTTCTGTGTATGCTAATTGTCTAAATTAATTAGTTTAGCAGTTGAGGGCTTTTTCTTGATTTTCTCAAAATGACGTTTTTGGATATGTATGGTTTTCGAACTCACCGATTCTATTGTGAAAGAAGGTATTTCACTCACTTACGTTATTTATTACCAACGTGTCGTTTAAAGTCACTTGTAATAGAAAAATCAAAAGCTGACTACCAAAAACGTCAATATTTAAAGATATCATTTCCATCTATTATGATAATGCATATATTTTAAAAAATAGATTCCACTATTTTCAGAAAAAAAACAAAACGCTTGACAAAACGCTAACCTAAAGAAACTACCGATATTCTCATTCGATTTGCATGACGTGCAGATTGCAATGGCAATATAGAGAATAGACATATCATCACCCCAGTATTATCGTGTTCTATATCCATTTTGCATGCTCTTGGCTATTTTCGAAATTCAGTACATTAAAAATGAACATATTAAAAATGAAAGATAATCAAACAAATGACATTAATTTGTATATTCTTACTTCTTACTAGTGTTTCCGTTTCAGTTAGTGTAAATGCCCCTTGCTGGTAGTTTAAATAGTCCAATGTCCTCATTTGTATAACTGAACAGTAAATTTGGTTTATTGAGAGCAACACCGTAATTAAAGGTAGGTATATTGCTACCAATGTGGAGATATCTGATTTTGTTGTGTGATTGTAGAAATGATTAAATGCAATAATAAATAACTTCAACTTTATTTATACATGTGCCTTAGTGGTCTGTATGACTAAGAATGAATCAGCCGAAATGGCAACAATGTCACTTTCACTTAAAAACTAGTTTCTATTTACAAAATTCCTGAGAGGGAAAATCGGTTTTAAAAATATCTACATTATTTAACAGATGTTTCTCGATGCCTTCTCGACCTGTAAAATGATTCAAATCCTTTTTTTATCATTTTCAAGTCAAATATTTATTGTTGTTATACATCAAAGTTATTACATATTATTAACGATCCTCAGATCCTTTGTAGTTTTGTATTGTCGTCCGTCCGTCCGTCCGTGTGTGCTCTAACGCTTTTTAAAAGTGACCGATTGTGTTGAAATTTGGTGTACGGGTACGTTGGACATTAAGGACGGACGCTATTGATTTTCAGGAAGCTGGTTCAACAGGAACAAAAGTTATAGGACTTCGAGTGAATCGGGAACATGAAAAACTGCGAACTCAATATAATAGAAATCAACATATTTCATTCCCTAGGTCATACATATATCGAGTTCGGACTTTCGCTAGATTATTCTCTATGACTCTTAGATGTGTAACAATTCAATATAACTCTTCTCTCTGTGGTCTAGGTCAAAAGTTTTAGAGCAAAATGTACCCAAAATTATTCTGTACACATGAATTTAGAGTTGTAAAAGCTTTCAAACGCATTATCTTGATGCTGAAAGAGTTGATAACGTGCACGTTTCATAACCGCATGTGCGTGATTCAAAAATGTTAAATTATTTTTCTGAGGCCACATGGATTTTGATCAAAATATGTCAAAATGGTTATTTATGCACCAAGATGGTTGAGAAAAAAACCAAGAGCATTATTTCTATCTCCAAAACATGAATTGATCTATTTTTGGCGACCACATGGATTTTGATCAAAACATGTCAACATCGTTATTTATGCACCAAGATCGCTGGGAAAAAGACTAGGGGCATTATCTCAATGCCCAAGACATGAATTTGATGCATTTTTGGCGACCACGTGGATTTTGATAAAAAAATGTCAAAATCGTTATTTATTTATGCACCAGGATCGTTTGGAAAAAAACCAAGAGCATTATCTCAATGCCCAAGACATGAATTTGATGCATTTTTGTTAACTATAAAATGTATTTTGTAAGATGAAAATAAATTGTCGTTAAAAGTGATTGTAATACTGAGGATCCTTCGATATTTCGTTGTATCGGTTTATTTAGAATGAAAAGAAGCAAAGCAATTGATACATCGTTCTACCAAAAGATTTACACGATGCACCAGCACAACGTCCCCGTTGGCAGGAAACCACAAAATGGTCCATTCTGTCAAACCGTATGTCTGGTACTATGTTTTTGGTGATGCTGATAGGACCAGATTTCTTTGGGTTTGTGCCATATTTTGATAAGTAAACTTGCACAATCTCCCTTCTAAATTAGCCACATTATTATTTGTTCTGTACAAAAACCAAGCATTTTGTACGGCGACATCAACCAGCCATGTAAATATTGGTCAATACCATCTGTATGTTCCACCCATGTGATTATTGTACGCTGCAATGCAGTGAGGACGGGC